TATATATATAGCACACACGCACACACATACATACATACATATGAATATAATTATATTATAGTATATAATGTACAACTATATTCTATTTGAATAAAGCAATCAGTATATTTGAATTATAATAAAGCAAACATGGGGTTACAAACATGTGCACCTTTGCATTTATGTTTTTTTCTTCTAATTTGGTATCTTTATGAAATTGAAAGTTTTATTTTCAATTTTTTTACTGGAACAATTTGGTCATTAACAGCCATATATATTTTTTATTTTATAAATTTGTCTATATAAATAGTATAAGTTGATTGCCATGTGACATGGAAGGTATATTGATGGCTCCTATATGGCTATTGAGTAACTTTAATAAGTACTTCACATGCCATCATGTGAAACTTGTTTGCTCTTTCCACATTTAAGTGGCATCTTTGAATGGTAAAAGTAGCCCCCCTTAGAACTTTAATAATTCATGATGTGATGAAGTATTATATGGCTAAGAAAAAAGAAATATATTTGTTCCCCTACAATCATGAATTTACTTTACTTAAATCAAGATAAATTATAAAAAAGAAAACATTCATGAGAAAGTGTTTTATGGTGCTAATGTTAAATTTTATCATAGTTAATTTCACTAATAATCTCAAAAGAACATTTGCATTGGAAAATTATCAAAACAATATCAAATTGGCTTTCGGATTGATAAATCGTCAACACAGTTTTATTTTTTGGTATGAATCTCGAAGTGGGACATGAATCTCGAGATAATTTATGAGCTAGAAAAGTTCATACTCAAATTAAAAATCAACCTGAAATTCAATTTTATCAAGTTATTTGCTTGACAAAACGAATCAATGACACTAAAATTGAGCTAATCCAAGTAAAATGAAGCATGGATCAAGTTATTAATCCACTTTTAGTTGGAAAATCAAATGAATTTTAAAATATGACAAGCTTATATTCAAGCGCCCCGATAAGACAAATATAAAAAGCTGAAGATCACTCAATTTTGGCATCGTTAAGGCACTTAAATACGCAAAAAACGTCATAGAGTCGAGCAAACTTTTTTGGGTTGTCTAAAGAAATGATCCAAATTCCTTCCTTATTCATTAAGGTGGCACTCCTAGACTCTATAAATAGAGTTTTGGTCCTTTTACGAAAAATGGGGAGAACCGAGGAGAAGTGCTATAGCTTGGATCAGGAGGAGTCAAATTCCAATGTTGTTCTGGACCAAAGACTCCACAAACGCTTCCCGCTCCCACAACTATCGACCACCATTAACCATCTTGTCAGTCATCGTTGGCCACCCTTAATTTAATTTTGATACAATAATACAATTTTGACAAATTAAGGTGTATTCTTCCGCTACATTTCTTTTATCTATGCGTCTGTATTAGATTTTCGTGCAATGCTAATATGCTAAATAAACACTCCACCGCCATGAATCTTCCGCATATATCAATACATATAACTTGCAAAATGCAGACTATAGGATTCTGATACAATAATAAAATTTTGACAAATTAAGGATATATTTATACTCATGAAAAATGAATAAAAAATATACATTTATAGGAAATAAAAGAGATGTGATTGCATTTTACTTGTAGCTATCTCAATTAATATAATATGATGAAAGAGTTGCGCTTTCACGGTAAAATTATTTTAATTCATTTAAAAATAAAAAAATAAAAAAAATTTAGGGGAATAATTATGAAATTTTTTGCCAGTTGAAGCTTAAATTAAATGATGAATGAAGCGCAGGGAAGTATTGTTTCTTGTGTATATAGTAGCAATACGGGCGCCTGTTTTTAAGGGTGTCGGCTTGAAAGTTTAGGCCCCATTGCCCATTTGAGAAATGAACTATATGGATTTCATGCATCAACTCCTTCATTTGTTATAAAAATGCAAATATATTTTCATTAACTGCTTTTCCTTCGCATTGAGACCTTTCTACCCGTAATTAACTCAATTAGTTTTAAATTATCTTAATTAAAAAAATGATGAGTAATTGACTTTAGTTATCTAAAAAAATTTAAGTAAACAGGTATTATATTATGAAGAAAGGCAATCCTTCTATTAAATATCAATTGATAGCTGCTATGCCAATTATTTATTACTTTTGCATGTCAATAAATTCATGACGATAGAGTAATATTTTAATGTTTCATGAAAATCCAACACAAATACAAATAAAAGAGAAATAGAGTCAGGAGACACCAACTGTTCTTATATGAAAAACTCCTAAAAAGGAAAAAAAAAATCATTCGGCGAACCTAGTGAAAATAATTCACAATGTGATTGTAACTACATAGATTTTTACTCTTCTTTTAAATTAGGTAAAATTAGATTATAAATCTAATAATCACAAATGTACAATAGTAGTTTAGTTATAATAGTCATAATTAGCCTACAATTTATGTAACTTTTAGCTATATTGATAATTGTTGGTTAGAAAAACTTTAATTAATTGCTATAAAGGTTGTATTCGATGATTATAATAGCATCAATTAGTTACAAATGCTTTAGTTGGAGGTTGTACTACTAGCAGTTGGACATATAAGTCATAATATGAAGCTGCAACAATAATAGTTGGTCACAAAGGCTTTAATTGGTGGCTGCCATAGTGGCAGTTGACAACAAAGATTGTAATTGAAAGTTGTAACAATAGTAGTTGGTCACAAAGGCCATAGTCAGTAGTCGCAATAGCGTTAGTTGACAACAAAAATCGTAGTTGGAAGTTGTAACAGTAGTAGTTCGCCATAATGACTGTAATTTGTGATTGGAATATCGTCAGTTGTTCACATAAATCACAGTTGGTGACTGCAATAACATCAGCTAGTGAATGTAATATCGTCAGTTAGTCATATAAATAGAAGTTGGAAGATATAATAGTGACAGTTAACCATGGAGCTCGTAGTTGGTGATTGCACTAATTTGAGTTGGTTGAAGAGGTCATAGTTATAAATTATAATAGCGTCAGTTGGTCACAAATGTCGTAACTGTTGACTGGATGCCTTCTCCCAAGAAGAATAGTGTTACCCTTTACACCAAACATTACACCTGTCTTTATGCATTGTTAAAAAGATATAGGTGTTAGGAACAACTGTCATATTTTGGTTACGATGGTTGTAAGCGGTGATAGCCAATTGACGGTGGTTGGTGGCAGCGGTTGGTGACGTTTGACAGTGGACGAAAATTATAACCAAATTTTCAATACGAGTGTTATATATTACAATCGTATTTGAGATATGACGTTTGCAACAAGCATAGCCAATGATAGAAGGATAATGGTAGGAAGAAGTGATGAACAACGGTGGTCGACGGGAGCCAACAAACAATGGTCGACAGTGGTTAGCGAGTACAGAGGCTAGGACTAAGCATCTGGTTTTTAATTTAAAACACTTTCCCCTTCTCAAGTGAAGAAATGGGTCTATTTATGGCCTCT